GAGGTGAGGTGGGGCTGCGCCTCCTCCTTGGGGGCTCCCGGGGGTCCTGGCACCTTCTTCGGCCCTGGAGGGGAGGAGCGCCTTGTGTGTGGGCTGGTCTTTGTTGTATCTGCGTGGGGAGTCTGTGTTGAGGGGTCCCTGCTGGTCCTCTTGGGTCTGGGGTGGAGTCTGTGCTTGTCTTGTTTCCTTAGGGGCTGCATGCATGTTCTTATACATATATATATATATATATACACGTGTGTGTTTGGTGGGAGAAAATAGATATTTTGTCTCTCTGGTGCCTCTAATCAAACCTTGGGGTCCCTGTGGGGTAAACTTCCAAGGCCTGAGGTACTAGAGTATGTGTAAGGAAGGGCCATGAAGCTGGTGAAGGGTCTAGAGAACAAGTCTTAGGAGGAGCAGCTGAGAGAACTGGGGTTGTTCAGCCTGGAGGAAATAAGACTGAGGGGAAGACTTATTATTATATGCAACCATCTTAAAGGAGGGCATAGAGAGGTGAGGATTGGCCTGACTAAGTACCAAGCGATAGAACAAGAGGAAATGGCCTGAATTGCACTAAAAGAAACTTAAACTGCATACTTAGAAGATTTTCTTGAGTGAAAGGGTTATCAGGCATTGGAATGGGTTGCCTAGGGCAGTGATGGAGCCTTCTTCCCTGGAGGTATTTAAAAGTCATGTAGACATAGTACTTAGGGATAGTCAGGGGCTTGTCAGTGTGAAGTTAGTGGTTGGACTTGATCTTAAAGGTCGTTTCCAGTCTAGGTGATTCTGTGACTCCTCAATATCCCCCCTCACCTTAAATTCATCAGCATGTCCCCTGGGGCTCCTTAGCTTGTTAAATCCTTTCAGGCCTATACATGAGGGCAAGTGTCAGGGCTCCATGATGTTCCTGCTTTGTCCCCTCCAAGGAGGGACCCTGTGATACCTCTGTGTTCCTCCTTATCTCAGGCCGGGTCAGCATGGCGGATGAGGAAATTGCAGCCCTCGTGGTGGACAATGGCTCTGGCATGTGCAAGGCAGGCTTTGCAGGGGATGATGCCCCCCGTGCGGTGTTCCCTTCCATCGTGGGGCGTCCCCGGCATCAGGGTGTCATGGTGGGCATGGGCCAGAAGGACAGCTACGTGGGGGATGAGGCCCAGAGCAAGAGAGGCATCCTCACCCTGAAGTACCCCATTGAGCATGGCATCGTCACCAACTGGGATGACATGGAGAAGATCTGGCACCACACCTTCTACAATGAGCTGCGTGTTGCCCCGGAGGAGCACCCTGTCCTGCTCACTGAGGCCCCTCTGAACCCCAAGGCCAACCGAGAGAAGATGACCCAGATCATGTTTGAGACCTTCAACACCCCAGCTATGTATGTAGCCATCCAAGCTGTGCTGTCCCTCTATGCCTCTGGCCGCACCACCGGCATTGTCATGGACTCTGGTGATGGTGTCACCCACACCGTGCCCATCTACGAAGGCTACGCGCTGCCCCATGCTATCCTGCGTCTTGACTTGGCCGGCCGTGACCTGACCGATTACCTCATGAAGATCCTCACGGAGCGGGGCTACAGCTTCACCACCACAGCGGAGAGAGAGATCGTGCGGGACATCAAGGAGAAGCTCTGCTACGTTGCTCTGGACTTTGAGCAGGAGATGGCCACGGCTGCCTCATCCTCTTCCTTGGAGAAGAGCTATGAGCTCCCCGATGGGCAGGTGATCACGATCGGGAATGAGCGTTTCCGATGCCCTGAGGCCATATTCCAGCCTTCCTTCCTGGGCATGGAGTCCTGCGGCATCCACGAGACCACCTTCAACTCCATCATGAAGTGTGACGTGGACATCCGGAAGGACCTTTATGCCAACACCGTGCTCTCTGGGGGTACCACCATGTACCCTGGCATTGCTGACAGGATGCAGAAGGAAATCACGGCCTTGGCGCCCAGCACCATGAAGATAAAGATCATTGCCCCGCCAGAGCGGAAATACTCAGTGTGGATCGGCGGCTCCATCCTGGCCTCCCTCTCCACCTTCCAGCAGATGTGGATCAGCAAGCAGGAGTACGATGAGTCTGGCCCTTCCATTGTCCATCGCAAATGCTTCTAGAGGGGCTGCTGGCAGCCACCTGAGGGCTGGGGCAGCCTCCTCCTCCACTGTTGGACCAGAGTTGTTCGGCTGTTACTTATTTTATGCTTTCATTAATATTGTTGAGGTACTGAGTAGAGATGTGCATTTTAATGGCCCCTTAGGCTTGTAGTTCTGTGGCTGGCTAGCTCCTTGTCTTCCTCGTGCCCCCTGGGGTTGGGAAGTAGGAGGTTGTTCACTTTTCCTAGGTAGCACTGGTAGGGTGACACTACAGTTAAACTTGTTGCCTTTAGGTTTGTCACAACTGACTCCTTTGTAGGAAAACAAATAAACTTGTTGAGGTTTAAAAACTACAAAGAGGTTATTTCGCTTTCTTTCAGGGTGGGCTCTTTCAATATCCTTGCTGTGAATAATTATTGTGCAGGATGTGGCTTTGGACTCAAACCTGGCCTCTAGGTGCCTTCTTAAAAGTTGGAAAACAAAACTCAGGGTAAACATTCTACAAGCTAAGAGCACCTTTTAAAGCTGCCCTTCAAGGCTGTCTTAAGAGCTGTGAAGAAGGAAAGCTTGACTGGTATGTGGCCCTTGCAGCCTTTCTGTACTTTCATGGTCACTTTGCTTTTTTTAGAATGCAAACAGCTCTTCTTGTCAGGAAAAGTTGGCGCCTTGGTGTGGGTTTTGGTGACAGGAGGAGATGTTTCTCCTTTTTTGGGAGAAACAAGATGAAGCAGCACATAGCGCAGGGGGAAGCTGGTCCCCCCTGCTCTGCGGGGTTGTCTGTAGGAGCTTATTTTCCACGGAGAAGCGTGGTAACCCCGAATTAGCACTGTTAATTGGCAGGCCGCTGCGGGAGGGGGGAA